TGTATTGTAGTATCTACCAGATGTGCAATTGCAATTAGTTCTGATACTCCTCAAACTAGATATTTCCTCCAGTTCATACTACTGGGAAAGCCAATATAAATATCTAAACTGAAATACATAGTGAATACTGTTTGCGAAATTCATGAACTACACAGAGGTAACCACAATTGTCCTCTCTTCCCAGTACTTCAGGGTAGAGAGACTTTGACTTAACTCTATCAGTTTACACAAAATTCCTTCAAAACTAAAGGCAGGGCAGAATTAACTTAAGAAAACAGTTTCAGATTGGTGAAGACATTTGGTGGCATTTACCTAGCTCAGCATCCTGAATTTCAGCCAGTTTAGCATTGATTCTAGCCCTTCATGTCAATGGATCGGGATTTGGACATTGCTGGGGGGTGGTTTTTAAAGCAGCCTTTCGTACTCTTAGGGAGATTTCCCATTCACACCTTGGTGTGATAAATTCCATCTTTAATGGATGTTGCTACATGCCATTTTCTGAACCCCAGAGCAGCTGGGTGTTGTAAGATTTCAACGTGTAAGAGCCAAGAAACAAACTACATATTAAAGCAGGGAAGCTGCAGCTTATGCTAATTATTTTACATGCTCAGATATGCAAATGGCAGTGAAGTAGATGCTGCTTTTTTCTTCCTTTTTTTCTTGCTCCTTGTCCTCCCTTCAGATTTCTGTCAGAAGAGGGAAACAGCTTTCCCCTGTACCTAACTATTGTTTTCCTGCTGGTATCTTTTGAATGGTAATTCCAGCCAACAAGGATTGCTTTTGTAAAAAAATATTTACAAATCTGATATTTGAAAGACTTGAATCAAATCTTAGCATGAGAAATACTTCCCTCTGTATTCCAAGCAGGATCACAGCTTGCAGGGCTGAACGTACCCAGAGCTCCTTAGGCAGTGTCAAGCTTAACACAGACTGCACCATGTTAAACCAGTCTATTAAATGTAGACTGGTTTGAGTGGAAACAGCAGGTTCACACCTCTCATTCTCTTGTTTTGCAGGTGGTAAGGTGAAGGTGAAAGGAAGAGAAGGTGGAGATGGAACTGCCAAATCATGCCAAACAACTGCTACTGCAGCTGAACCAGCAACGAGCCAAAGGTTTCCTCTGTGATGTGATCATTGTGGTAGAAAATGCCCTGTTTCGTGCCCATAAGAACATCCTGGCAGCCAGCAGCATGTATTTCAAATCCCTTGTCCTGCATGACAACCTGATTAACTTAGACACGGACATGGTGAACCCCACCGTGTTCCGGCAGATCTTGGACTTTATTTATACTGGTAAGCTCTTAACGACTGACCAGCCCGGTGAACAGAACTTTAATGCTCTCCTCACCGCAGCAAGCTACCTCCAACTGCACGACCTGGCAGCTCTCTGCAGAAAGAAGCTGAAGCGGAACAGCAAGTCCTTTGCTGGCAAGGCCGGTGGCCTTGGTGTCGGGAGATCTGCCAGGAGTCAGAGACTTTCCACTGCTTCAGTCATCCAAGCTCGCTATTCAGGGTCAAATGAGGGGTTGAAGGGCTCGCACTCAAAAGAGCTGTCAAAGGGAAAGCTCTCTGATGACGAGGTCTTCATCAGCAGCTCCAACCAAGAGAACTGTCATTCCTTAAGCAGGGGAGCCAGTAACAACGGCGGTGGGGGCAGCAGTGCAAATGGGAGCACCGGCGACCAGGAGCTAGGCCTCGACCTGTCCAAAAAAAGCCCGTCACTCCCTGTTGCAGCCTCCCATGATGACACGCAGCACAGCGAAAGCCAGCATGGCTCTCCCCAATCTGCCTCAGCCCCCGCAGCCAACAGTGCCTCATCGTTTGACGAGTCTGGAGTGGGAGCCCCTCACAGCATGGCGGACAGCAGCGACCCCATGGAGATGGATCTGAGTGAAGAGTGCCACCACTCATTGACGGAGAGCAGCCAGCGCAAGGGCCTCCGGCACTCATCCCGCAAGAAAGAGTGGATGAAGAAAGACAACGCCTTTGAGCGAAAGGAGGGGGGCAAAGACAGGGACGAGGGTGAAGGGCTGCCCAATGGCATCCTGCTGGGGCCTTTGTCCAAGTCTGTGGAGCGGAGTCTGGCCGGGGCCTATGGTGCAGACCTACCCTACCCGTGTAAGGAAGAGGTGGAAAATGGTAAGGAGAACAGTGATGACAGTGGCGAGAGTGAGAGCGGCGGGCATACTAGTGCCAACTATGTCTACCGGCAGGAGGGGTTTGAGCCAGTGGCCTACGGTGACAACCTGTATGTCTGTATCCCCTGTGGCAAAGGCTTCCCCAGCTCCGAGCAGCTCAATGCCCATGTGGAGACGCACACCGAGGAAGACCTTTACATCAAGGAAGAAGGCACGTACGGCGGCAAGGATGAAGCCGAGGATTTGTCCAACCCCAACCAGTCCTATGCTGCGGAGTCCCGACCCTTCAAGTGTTCAGTGTGTGAGAAGAGCTACAAGGATCCAGCCACGCTGCGGCAGCATGAGAAGACTCACTGGCTGACGCGGCCCTTCCCTTGCAACATCTGCGGCAAGATGTTCACGCAGCGGGGGACCATGACACGGCACATGCGCAGCCACTTAGGGCTCAAGCCCTTTGCCTGCGAGGAATGCGGGATGCGCTTTACCCGGCAGTACCGACTGACAGAGCATATGCGTGTCCACTCAGGAGAAAAACCTTACGAATGTCAACTGTGTGGTGGGAAATTCACCCAGCAGCGCAATCTGATCAGCCACCTGCGAATGCATACCTCTCCCACATAAGCCAAAGACTCCAGAATGAGCTTCGAGCCCATCCGCAGTGATTTACCTTTCTGTAGACTTGCTGCTTAAAAAAAAAAAAAAAGAAAAAAGAAAAAAAAAACAAACAAAAAATGGGGCAACTCCCCATACTCTGTTCAGTCATGGGAGGCCTAAACAAATGTAGCTTTAACATTTTAAAAAAAAAAGTTCCTTTTTTCCCTTTTTTTAAAAAAAGAAAGGTCCACAGCCAAGCTGATGCATTTAGTCTAACTCTCCCTCCAAATTTTGGTGATCTGGCAAGAAATACCACTTCTTTTTGCACACATCAACTTCATTGCCATATTGATTATCTGGAGCAGGTATGGGGACCACGGAGAACTTTCAGCCTCTGCTGGCTTCCCCTTCCCTGCCTCTTTCCTTTGTGTTACTGTCACCCTACTCACCTCCTCTCTTAAAACCAAACTCAGTAGGGGCATTTCTTGCCATTAAAAAGAAAATAAAGTACACCTTTTCAGTGGCCTAAGTAGCTGTGAAATAACATAGCATTGCATTCACAAGTGCAGAAGCTGTGTCTGTGGACCATCTCACAGGGTTGGCAACCCCTTTAGACACTGTGGGAAAGCCGTAGCCGTGGTAGAACCCACCACCCTTCCCCTGGGCTGGTGATGGTGGGGACAGCAGTCTACCTAGGTGTACTTCACTTAAAGAAATGGCGATGCCTCCCTCTCCATCCCTCCCTCTTTTGGTTTTGATCCTTATCCTCGGCACACGTAACCACACGCCCCCTTTTCCCACAAAACACGCAAACCTCTTCTGCCTTACCCATGACTGAACAGGGACTGGATGCCCTGGGAATTTCTTTCAGTGAGCAGGGGGTCGTCTTTACTTTTCTAGTAGTTTCGTATGAATATTCTTTGCTTAGAGGTACTTGTTTTATTAAAGGAAAAACCATTGTAACGTTTATGTGAATGTTTGAACTGGAAGGTCTGAGGTTAATTCTAGGGTGGGTGGGTGGGGAGGGGGTTTGATGTAGGCTGGACTTGCTACAAGTTCCTTAGGTACTTTTTTATTATTTTTTATTTTATTTTTTGTGTGTGTGTATGTTTTTAGCTTTCCTCCCTCACTAAAGAGCAAGTCTGGGTGGACAGACTTGTTACCTTTGCTACCTCTTGAATTCATGAGAACAATAAGATGGTTAGTGAAAGATTAGGCATTTTTTTTCTCTTATTGTAAGTAATTAAATGTATAAAAGTAGAAGCTAAATTAAAGTTAAGGGATTTTTACCACCCCGTCCTTCCATCAAAAGTCAGCTAGAGAAATGTTAAAGCAAAGCTTGGCCAAAGACAAAGCAAAAAATACATTGAGCCAGAGGCTGTGCTGGCTGCTTGGACTGGCTCATTTGCAGTCTCTTGGCTGTTTGTAGTCACTTTTATCTAAAAGAAGAAAACTTCTCTGAGCTTTTTGGGCCCTTTCCAGCTTTGTTTATTGAATCTGGATACTATGGGGAGGGGAAAATGTCCCCCTCATCTTCCACTCCCCCAGCACATCTGGGTCAGTCTGTAAACACCTGGCAGGACAGAGGGTGAGGGCATAGCAGCCTATAATTTACTAGAATCCAGAGTGCAATAAGGTGGGGGAGAGGAGGAAAAAGCAAACCAAAGTGTTTCATATCCTCCCTTTTAGACAATTTAAATACGCACACAAAAAAAAAAAAAAAAAAAGAAAAGAAAAAGAAACAAAATGTTCTTGCAACATCTGCATAAGACATCACAGCCAACAGCTGCTATTGGTTTAGGAGAGAAGACAGAGAACTTAGCCCACCGATTCTTGGCCCCCTTGACTTTGTTGGCGTGACCTTGTGGAAAGCTATGGCTTATTTCAAGCCTCCCGTGACTGTGGTGGTAAAAATTCACAGCCAGTAGAATCATCCCTTCTGAATTGAGTAAGGTTTACACTTGTGTTTTTTCATTTGTTTTTTTTTTCCCCCCACTCAAACCAGTATAGTCTCTACATGTAAGGTTTACCAAACCTCACATTTTGTCTTTTTAAAAAAAAAAAAACAAAACCAATTTTTTTAAGTTTCGACCAAAAAAGAAAAAAGAAAAAAAAAGAAAAAAGTGAGCATGTTTGACTAAAACAAAGAAATATAAGCTTCATTTTCTATTCATTTTTTTTTGTTTGGGTTTTTTTTTTTTTGTTAAGGTAGACTAGTCCATAAGAAGTTGTTGGGTCAATTGAATGAACTGAGGAAACTGGAATCCAGGCTCCAAGCAATAGACAACCCTAAGGCGCTGAGCCTTGGCCTAGTGTTACGTTACAGGGAACACGCTCGCCCCTCTTGCCCACCACGCTCCAGTGTGCTTCTCCCAGTGCCATTGTCTGCTTGCTCCCACACGCCTGCCAGCTGTGGAGCGTAAGAGGGGAGCATGGACTTTTGTTCTTTTCTAATTGTGCTGAGGTGCGCTGTTTTCTTTGGGGGGGAAGTTAGGTGGGTTTTTAGTGTCTTTAGCACTTCCACATTTCAAACATATATTCAATTCTTTTCCCCTTGATCCCTTGCCAACCCCCCTCTGAGAATGTCCCCAAATTGTCTTTGGGGAGGACAGGGAAGGCCTTGCCATCTACCTTTTTCTCAGAGCAAGTCTCAGCAGGGCTCAGGGACAGCTGTGCAAGATTAGTTCCTAGGTACTTTCACCCTGCCTTTACCTTCCCTCCAACCTTCCTAAAGCCGAGCTGAATCCCACGCTGGCTTAGGCTGCAGCCAGAGCAGGCTCCCCTTGTTGCTGGCCGGCTAAGGACCCATCGAGTCCACATTTTCAAAACAATTTTTAGCTCCCTTGTGAGAAGAGCACCATCAGGGGTAAGCCCTGTCCCCCGCTGCAGGTTTTGGATGCTGGTTTCCCCCATTCACTTGTGGCCCTTCTGTGACACGTGGCCAGTGATGGGGACAGCAGGTGGGTGTCTGTGCAGAAGCCACCCTTGGTCACAGCAGCTCAAGCTGTGACCAACTTAGCCAAGCCATGGAGCAGCCCAAGGCAAGAGGAAGCAGTGAGCTCCTCAGCAGGCAAATAACCTGCTCCCCCTCACTTAATTCCATTTTTACAAGCATGCGTGTGGGTGATGTAGCCTCTCCCCCCACCCCCAGGCTCCCTCCTCATTTGCTTCTTAAGCCTTGAGAATCATGCTGAAGTTTCAGGACCCAATGCTATTTTTAAAAATTTTTTTGGAGCGTCTTTTTTTTTTTTTACTTTATCCCCTCCCCAGCACTTAAACAATACGACATAAAGTCTGTGTACAGCAAGAGTATTGTACAAAAGGAAATTTTGTTCTTTTTTCAAGTAGCTGTGTAAAGTTGTGTTCCATAGATTTGAGTATAAACAACATTTTCCAAATTGTGACAGTAATAATGAATAACTAATAATACTCAAAACTTCAGGGACTGTTTAAGGCCTGCTTGGGGCCTAAACACTCAACTGCATTTGTACGACATAGTATTGTATCAAACATTTTTCTGTATTTTAATGAGAAAGCAAAACACTAGTTTCATATTTAAGATTTTAAGAGTTTTAGGGTGGGGGGAGGGAGTTGCATTTTTGTTTTTTTTTAATTTTATTTTAATTTTTTTTTTAAATACACAAAGAGCCTCAAGAGGAATAAAACAATTTAAAAACAAACAAAAAAAAAAGAGGCCAGGCAGCTTGAGTATATGCTTTAGTCACTTAGTTCCAGAATGTTTTCGGAATAACAGGAAGAAAAAGATAAAATAGCAAAAGTGTATAAAAGAATAAAGAAGCTCATACCCAAATTCACAAAACTATTTTTTAAACCAAAGCACATTTGAATGAGTATGGAACCTCACTTGGCTCAGAAAAGTACTAATATATTTATCTCATTGTTTACATAAACTTCTACAGTTTCAGACCTCAACAGATCTAGGGGCCAGTCAAAATTAATCTTTGCTTTTTCCATTGGTTTGTCTCTGAAGGCTACACAGCGTTTCCCAGCTTGGGATGGGAGATCCATGTCCTAGCCTGCATTCCAGCACTGCTCGGGGAGGGTGGGAGAGGGAGGACAATTAGAAATACGGCACGTAGATATTATTTTTTTTTGTCTTCAACCCATGAGAGATGTTGCTGGGAGTGAGATCCAGGCACTATTGCAAAGGCATACCAGTCTACCTCTTCCTCAGAGGAGTCTGAGGGTACCAAGAGGGTAAAGAGAGATGTGAGAAGCTCTAGAGATAGGGAAGATGTTGTCAGAAGATGGCAGGAGCTGCTGTACCCAGCACATCTCCTTCACGTTAGCCATGGGGAGCTGGGCTCAGCTGTTTTCCAGTCCTTTGCTACAAAACCTCCAAAACCCAATGCCTGGCAAAAATCCCCAAAAGCCTAGCTCTCTGCATTTGGGGGAGTTAGCAGGAGCCATAAAGATCACAGAAGACACCAAAGAGCTATTGACATGCAGCTTCTGTGAGGCTTTGCGGCTGCTGATGTGGAAGAGTACGCACAACTCTGAACCATCCCTCTGCGCCAGGCAGGGGCTGTGGCAGAGGTGGCTGATCTCTCTGCGGTGACTCGGGTAGCTTTAATGGTCTGGTGTGAGGGCAAGAGCACGGGCACATAGCTGCCTCCTCCGGTTCAGAGCTGTGCCGGGGCCTGAGCTGTACAGTTCGGACCATCTGAGCCACTCTTCAATTAAACAGCTGGACTGATTCACTCCAGACCTTACAGTCACGCACGGAGCCCAACCAAAACTCCTAAGGCTTTCTAGGTGGAAACCTCGGGTTGATTTGCATGTTAGAACAGTCTAAAGATGACCAATGAAGATGGTTTGCTAAAATACCGCTGAAGCCAAAAAAAGAAAGGTTTTTAAAAAAGCTCCCCATCATTAGTCTTGTCCCTTTGTAGCTTTACCTTCTACACCAAAGCCACCTCAAACATTTGAGGGGGGGCTGATGGAAAATGAAATATTAATTTTGCCTGGTCTTAATATCTAACAAAGATGGTGCAAACACTATTTGACAGTGTTGTTTTTGTATCAATATGTATGTGCAGTAATGAATGTATTTATTTCTCAGATTCTGTATGCACAGTTTTG